GTCTCCCTCCGGGGTACAGTCTGACATCACTGCCGGCGAGGCGAGAGTCAGGAATTAAAACAAAGCATTGGTTGGTCGTCACCGGGAGGCGCGGGAGGGGGCGGGGAGGGGGCGGGGAGGGGCGGGGGGCGGGGAGGGGCGGGGGGAGGGGCGGGGGGCGGAGCTCCCTCCGCCTGTCGAGGCGGTGCACCACACCGGGCCGGAGCCCCGAGCCAGACACGTCGGGGAGCAGGTCGGAGGAAGGAGAGGCGGGGGCCGAGCCGGGCGTGGCTTCGGTCCGCTGCAGCAGCATGCGGTGGAGGAGGCCGTGGACGAGGGTGCCGCTCCAGTGGCCGGGCGCCTGGGGCGGGGGCGGGAGAGGGGGGAGGGGAGGGGTGGGGTGGGGGGGCGGAAAGGGTAAGGGGAGGCTGGAGGGGCGAGGGGACATCCACCGGGTGGACGACGAGCCCGGCTTGCTTGTTGAGCACTACAACGTGCTCGTCCTCGAGTAGCACCTACTCACCCCAACCCACAACCCACCCTCACCCTCGCAGCGGGATGGCCGGCCGCCGCCCTCGACGCGCCGCCTCGAGGGGGAGCGGCTCCGGCACCAAGCTCAGCTCCCGCTCCGCGCGCAGCCACACCTTCAGCGAGTCGCCCGCGCAGACGCGCGCCGCCTGCAACCCCACGCAGGCCCGCACCGGCCCGCTGAGGTGAGCCGAGGGGTCTCGCTTGCTCGAGGTTGGGAGGGGAGACAGCACGCGCCTAATCGCAGGCACAGGCCGCCTCGAGCGCTTCCGCCGCAGCCGCCGCAGCAGCGCCCGCCCAGCCACCTTCTTCACCCGACCGCCCCCGACGAGGACGTGGCCGTCGGCAGCGAGGCCGCCAAAGTAGCTTCGAGAGAGGGGAGGCAGCAGCGCCGCGAGCGCAGCGTCGACGCGCGAGCCGTCGAGCGAGTCGGGCACCGAGAGCTCGAGCGTGTCACCGCCGCCCTCGCCCTCGCAGCGCAGGTCGCTGCCCGCATCCCCGACGCTGCCCGCATCCCCGTCGGCCGGCGAGGAGGCGGAGGCGGAGGTGGGGGCGGGCGCCGTCTGCTCGAGAGCGGCGAGCCGCGAGAAGGCGAGCAGCCGCTGCCGGTCCAGGCCGTGGATCGAGCACGCCTCGAGCACACCTGCCGGGACAGCGGTCTCCGCGTGTGCCACGCAGACTGAAGACTCTCGAATCTCCTCTCGCTCGGGAGCCTTGATCGACGCCGCAAATGTCAGCGGCGGAGTGTATGCCCTTGGCGGTGAGGCACTCTGCATATTCGACCGCGACCGACCCCTGCACATCGAGCGCACTCAGCTCCGCCGCCAGAAGCCGCGTTCGCCGCCGCCGCTCACGCAGCTCGTGCCGGCTCAGCATCTCGGAGGCCGCAGCCGCAGCGCAGCGAGGCGCAGGCGCGCGGACGGACCGCGAGCCACCAGCCACCGCGAGCGTGGCCGCGAGGGTGGCGGCGAGCAGCATCAGAAAGGAGGAGCGCACGACACGAGCGAGCTCGTCGCGCGCTCTCTCTCGTTCTGTCGTGCTCCCGCAGTAACGAGGAGTTTTTTTACAGAGGCAGGTGTCGCCCACAAACAAGAGAAATCATGCGCGCCGTATTTGACAAGGCAGTCGGCTGGTTAGGCACCCCCTGCTTCGGCGCGGCCGCGGCGCCAAGCACAATGTTTGGCAAGCCCCTGCTTGGGAGTTCCGCGCCTCGCGAGTGCGTCTTCAACGCGGTGCCTGAAAGACAGAGAGCAGAGACTGTGTCCCAGTAGTGCGCTCAGCGGCGCGTGCGCCTGGCTGCCTCCGCAAACTCCCGGCTGCTTCCACTGTGCAGGCCCTCTGCTGCTACACGTCGGTCTCGCCGGACGACGTGCTCATCGGCTGCCGCGGCGAGGACGAGCTTCTCTGCGTCCACACGCGCTACTGCCTCGCGTCAGGGGACAAGGCCTTCCCGGTCTCCTTGGAGTGCTCGCCAGAGGAGATTATGCGGAATCGTGGCGGCACGGTTTGCGAGCTCTCGCTTGCCGCCGCAGCGCTCAAGGTCAAGATGCCGTCCACGCTGTATCGGCACCACGACCGCTTCTTCTGCCTACGCTCCGCCGGCGCCTTCCCGCTGCAGGACCCCGTCCCCACGCCGGTGTGCGCCTTTTGTTGTTGCCGCGTGCTGCCCAGGCCGATGGGCCCGCTCGCGCCGCCGCTCGGCGGCAAGCCCACCACCAACCTGATCATGCGCCGCTGAGAGTGTCTCCGACCTCGAGCGATCGACACCAGCGCCGCGGGACGACGGGGAGACGCCGGCAGACGCGGCACCGCCGGCGGGGAGTCCCCCCTCAGTCCGGGAGAGATATCTCTGTTACAGAGTCTCTGAACCCAAAAATATCATTCGTGCGCGGTCTTCGTCACGCTCTCAACACCTACCGTGCCTGCCCGCGGCTCAGACTGTAGACATGTTCCACGGCCGTTGCGGGGGGATATCTCGTGCACATGCCGCCCGCGTGTACAGGCGCTCCAGCCGCGCCGGACTGATCAGCGTGCTTCCATTCTGCACGCGCGCGATGCAGCCGACGGGGCAGATTGGGTGCGCCGAGTACTCGAGCCCTCGCAGCTGAGCAATGTTGCGATAGTAAAACATGCGCGTTTGATGCAGATTGTGTATCTCGTGGACGGCCGCTCCCGGCTGCGCCCACATGACCTGCATCATCTGGGCGCCTATCAAGAGGGTACGCGTGTGACCGTAACATCGCTCGGCGAGCGCAACTCGGCCTAGAACGCACCGTGGAGGCCGACAATGGTGTGGCATCTCCTCGCCTCCTCAACTTGATGCCGCATCGACATGCCCGGCCGAAAGTGGACGAACCGGACTCGCCTGGCCAGTCTCTGCCGGAGAGCGTCGGGGTTCGACTCCTTGCGAGCGTCGATGGAGCGGAGCCTGAGCCAGAAGCAGGGCTCGCGGCCCTCTGGGGGAAACTCAGAGGCGCCGAGCCGTCGGGAGAGGTCGCCGACAAATAGGGAGAACACCCTTTGCTGCGTCGGCGCACAGCGCCGCGGAGTTCGGCCTAGGCTCCACAGTCGGTCCACCGGCAGCGGGTCTTTGTGCCATGTCGACATCTTCGGGGACATGTCGGGCACACTGAGCCTATTGACAGCGTCAGGTAGTGAGCAGACGGTGTCGGACCGAGGCAGCATGTTTGCCGCTCGTAGCCTGGTGGCACACGCTGTCGGCGGCTGTCGGCGGATCGCCCCACCAACCAGGCCAGCCCAGAGCTGTCGAGACACGTTCCCCTGGTCCTTTCGGCGCGTGAAATGTAGATCGGCGTTTGAGATGTTGAAGCTGTGCATGGCCAGCCAGACTGTGAATGCACGCGTCAGCAAGTGCCAGATGTTTTGGTCCTCGAGACGAAAGCCACATCCGTTACAGGCGCGGTCGACCTCAACTATAGTCCGGCTCCCAGGTTGCTGACACGCCTGCCGCGCCGCCCCGCATTCAGTGGCCACCCATGCTGGCGCCAGCTCGGAGATTGGAGAAGCTAGTTCGCGGCACCGTACCAACATCGCCTCAGTAGGCATGACACCACAGCCCCTTTCTTGGATCATTTGCTCCACGGACGTGAAGGCCAGGCTGAAACGGAGCGTCTGAAGGGATGCGGCACGAATGGCGCCCAGTTGTCCTACAGATAGCTCCTTCTCGGGCGTCGCGCGGTGTAGAATACACGCCCCCTCCTCTTGCCCTCGGCAGGCATGACCCGAGCGCAGGATCTCGGGCATGCAGCATTGATGCTGGCCACCCGGGCGCTTGGAGCAGCCCGGCCCGCCGCAAGTCCCGCACGAGGCATTGCAACATACCTGATTGCTCTCGTCCCAGCCGACCAAACACTGCCTCTGGCCTCGAGCGACTTGCGCAGTGGCGCACGGTGCAGCATGCCGCCTCTCTACGCGCGCTGTGATGAGAGTATTGCCGGTCCTCTGCATCCCACCATTGGCCGTATTCCCTGCAAGTGCACCCCCAAGAATGCATACCACGTCCGCCTGAGACTCGCAGCTCCGTCTCGCGCGCAGGATCGCGGGCATGCAGCATTGGCGAGGGCCACCCGGCCGCTTGGAACAGCCGCGGCCGCCGCACACCCCACAAGTCGCGTTGCAGCAGACTTGGTGAGTTGGGTGCAGAGCGCCGGCCAAGCAGGCCATTGGATGTGTCGAGAGAACTGAGGTGAGGGGGCCAGGGGGACGCACACTGCCGAGAGCCGAGGGGGACGCACGCTTCTCACGGCTCACGCAAAAGGGCAGCCAGAGGTCTTGAACTTTGACTGAGTTCCCGCCTTTCCCAAAAAACATACACTGAGAGAGAGAGTACGTACACTGAAAAAGAGAGTTTTGCAGGAAAACTCCCTCGCAGTGTCGTGCAAAAAAGAGAGATTTACAACAAAGCTCCCTCGCACAGTGTTGTGCAAAAAAGAGAGGTGTGAATGAATGAATAACATCCCCAAAAGGGGCGCACCCTGCCTGCGCCTGCCTGGACCACACGCACGCACGCACTCCAGCCAGGACTCAGCAGACGATCGACGACCTGGTCGGCTGGTCGCCGGCATATACTTAGCCATTCGCGTTCCCACCTTCCTTGGGCAGCCAGTTCTTCATGTACTCCTCGAGCACGTTTGCGAACGTCTCGCGATTAAGCCAACCCGACCCGTCCCCGTTCGGACCCGTCGCACTGAATTCTTTCTCGTCCTCGTCGCGCTCGATGCTCAGCATCGGTGCCGCCATGTTCACCGCGTCCTCCTCCTCGATAACGAAGAAGCGTGGCGCGCACGGCGGGAGTCGTGCGGGTTCTGCGGCGGCGGCGTTCGGCGCGGACTTGTCCGTGTGCCACCGCAGCAGGTAGCTCTTGAAGGCGCACAGCCTGTGCGAACCGTCGATCATGCGGAAGGCGGAGCCGCACCTGTGTGGCGGGGGAAGGGAGAGCACGGGGGCGGCCCGCGTGAGCTGAAGAGGGCGGGAGGTCGCGAGGTCGTCGACGAGCCGCGAGAGTGTGCGCGAGGGCAAGAGCGGGGGGAGGGGGGGGGGGGGGGGAAGGCGAGAAGGCGAGGCGTCGCCGCACGGGTTCTGCGTGCTCCGTACGAGGATGCCAGGCACGCTCGGGCAAACCTGCGCGCGAGCAGCCAGGGGTGAGGGAGACCTCGACCCCGAGGATATGAGTCTGTGAGCTGCGGGCCGCGCGCGCGCACGTGCTCCATCTGGCCGTCCATCAGGCGAGAGCCGCACATGCGACCCAAGCCTTGGGCACCGTCGTGCGGCAGGCCGAGTGGGGGCTCCGCGCTGATCTTGCCCATGCCTAATTACACCGGCGTTCGGCCGAGGTGCGGCCGACGGGGATGAGAGGCTCTGCTCTCTGAGGGGGGGTGAGAGAGGCGCTGCCACCTTTGTGGCAGATCAGGTGCAGCGGCACGCGACGGGGAGCGAGACGGCGATGTTCAATGTGGTTCATCGCCGCCATCAAGGGGATGCCCCAGCCCGCGCCATGCCCCGCCAGCGTCCACCCGTGCGCGAACGAGTGCCACTCGTGCAGCACCTTCAACAGCGGCCTCGGGTGCGTGCAGCTGTCCATGAGCATCTTGCTGCAAATGTGGGCCTCTCCGCCCCCATAGATATCATTGGCCGAGCCCTCGGCCTGGGCTGGCGGATCAGCGTCCACCAACGGCATTTCTTGCTGGCTGGCGCCGAGCATGCCCCACAGCCGCACCACCTCCGCCCGCGCCGCCGCCAATTTTTCGGCCGCATGCTCCTTGGCCGCCACCGCTGCTGACGCCTGCACCACCGCCTCCGCCTCCAACCGCGCCCGCGCAGCCTCCGCCACGAGCCGCGCCTCCCGCTCCCGCGCAGCCTCCGCCACGAGCCGCGCCTCCCGCTCCGCCGCTGCATGCGCCTCCGCCTCCGCCTTTGCATCCAGCCGCAAAACGCTCAGGGCCCGCCCCGCCCAAAAAGCGAGGACCACGCATCCGAGTGCAGTCACGGTGAGCACCGCGAGCAGCAGCACATGCTTCGGCTCCCTTGCCTTTGCACGCCGCTTCCGCTTCCGCGACTTGCTGCCCGGGTCTGAGCTGGGGCCGTCGGACGGCCCGCCAGCGTCGCCAGGCCCACCGTCCGCCATCGACGCCATCTCCCAGCTGTTGCAGCGGTAAAGCCGCCTTGGGGACGACGCCATTCGGGGAGAGAGCAACCGGGGAGAGAGCAACCTGGGGAGAGAGCAATCTAACTCGCGCGACGCTGTTCATAGAAAAACACCAAACCCCCAAGTACAAGCACAGACAGTCGAGATGAAAACAAATCGTTGTGCGCAGTACTAGCCCAACAGAGGGGCGACCGCCCTCTCCAGGTAGGTTTGCCGCTCACTGGCCGTCGCGAAGCCATCCCACTCGTAGAATGGAACGCTGATCACCCCCCAGCAGCCACCGCGAGGAGGCGCCGCTTGAGCATCGTTGGCCCATTGGGTTTGCGCACGCCCCGGCCGTCGGGCAGCAGGAAATGAGAGGGGCCGTCCACCTCGACCGCGATGCGTGATGAGGGCAGAGCCAGGTCGAGCGAGTAGCCGGTGCGCGGCTCGAGATGCTCCTCCTCGAAGCCGCGCTGGACGGCGGCGAGTGCAGCCGCGACGGAGCGCTGCAAGCCTGACGGCCGAGCTATGGTCGCCACCATAGCGTTCGCGGCAAAGCTGGCGCTGGGGTGCGGGGAGGAGATGCTGCTTGCCGTCTTCGCCTCGCCCAAGAGAGAGCCAGAGCTGCCACTGGTGAAGCTGAGAGCGGCCCCCGACGCTCCACGTTGACGGATCCCGCGCGAGCGAGTCGCTGATCACGCGCGAGCAGTCTGCAAGCAGCACCTGGTGGTAGTGGCCCGCCGTCGCATACGCCCACACCGTGTTGGCCAGGTCCTGAGGGTTGAAGCGAGCCAGCCCGCCGCGCACCGCCGCCTCCGCCACCGCCGCGTACAGCGCGTCTGCAGCCACGCCCGCCGTCGCATACGCCCACACCGTGTTGGCCAACTCCTGCGGCTTGAAGCTAGCCAGCCTGCTCCCCACCGTCGCCTCCGCCACAGCCGCGTACAGCGCGTCTGCAGCCACGCCCGCCGTCGCATACACCCACACCGTGTTGGCCAGGTTCTGAGAGGTGAAGCTTTCCAGCCCGCCGCGCACCGCCGCCTCCGCCACCGCCACGTACAGCGCGTTTGCAGCCACGCCCGCCGTCGCATACGCCCACACCGTGTTGGCCAGGTCCTGCGGCTTGAAGCTAGCCAGCCTGCTCCCCACCGTCGCCTCCGCCACAGCCGCGTACAGCGCGTCTGCAGCCACGCCCGCCGTCGCATACGCCCACACCGTGTTGGCCAACTCCTGCGGCTTGAAGCTAGCCAGCCTGCTCCCCACCGCCGCCTCCGCCACAGCCGCGTACAGCGCGTCCGCAGCCACGCCCGCCGTCGCATACGCCCACACCGTGTTGGCCAGCTCCTGCGGCTTGAAGCCAGCCAGCCTGCTCCCCACCGCCGCCTCCGCCACAGCCGCGTACAGCGCGTCCGCAGCCACGCCCGCCGTCGCATACGCCCACACCGTGTTGGCAAGCCCCTGCGGCTTGAAGCCAGCCAGCCTGCTCCCCACCGCCGCCTCCGCCACCGCTACGAACAACGGGTGCACCACGCTCGCTTGCTGGCCGCACTTTGCCACGCCGTGAGTGAGGTTCGCCAGTGCTCGCGCATTGCACGACGAGACGAGGTCGAGTGTGCGCTGCACCAGCTGCTCAAGCTGCTCCTCGTGCCGCCGCTCGATGCGCTGCTTGCCCAGCTTGTTCCACAGGTTCGCAGCGTGGATGTGGTCCAAAGTCGTGCTTTGGGCAGCAAAGAGCGCGAGCAATGCGTCAGCGCTGCCGGCCTGGCTTATCAAAGCGGTCAGCTTCCGAGGGACCTGATCACTGTCAGCGCAGCGGCTAGAGAAGGGGCGATCATTGCACACTCGTGCGTCGCGTCCTTGCGCACCGTTCATCGGCGGTCCCACCCGGCGACCGCTGTGCTGAGCTGCCCTTCGTCGCGTCGGTCGCGCGGGTCATGGTCGCGCCTGTGATCGTGGTACCGATAATCGCGCCGATCGTGCCAGTCGCGCTCGCGCTCGCCTCTGCTCCGACGGCCGTAGCCGCGCCGCTCGTCATGCCGCCCGTCATGGTGCGGCCATTGCTCGTCTTGCCAACGCTCGTCGCGCCGTCGCAGCTCATCCCGCCGCGGCTCATCGCGCGATCGCGACCCTGTCGCGATTCGCCCCACCATCGCCACTCTTCGCGTCCGCACTCGGCGCGCTGAATGGCGAGCGGATGCGCGCGTCAGTCGAATGAAGCTTTTTGGTGTTTTGTTTTGCGTTTCTCTCTCTCTCAGTGTACTTTTCTCTCTCTCTCAGTGTATGTAGCTCTTACGTTCATTCCCGGAGGAGCACTGCTGACGGGGTTTGCGATGAGGAGCGATCCGAACGTGGCATTCGGGTGATTAGATCACTACCGCCGAAACGCAATTGTTGTGTGTGGCTCTTTTTTAGCCTTGAGAAAGAAAGAAAGAACAAAACAAAGAAAACACACAAGGAAGAAACAAAGAAAGCAGACAAGCCAAGGGAACATTCCTAAAACCCAAGGGAAGGGATGCGGATGGGAGGACGGCACGCCGCCACCACACAGGGATTTTAAGGAGAAGAGTGTGGAGCTAGCCGTCGCCCACCCTTGGGCGTCTGCCTCTTCCTATCTCTCTTCGCAGTTTCTCACCAATTCTCGCAGCGACCTCCATGCCGCCTCGCGGTCGTCTCACTCTCGTCGTTCTCTCTCCAGACTCCACTCCTGCCGCTTCATCCTCTGACTCATCGCTCTCCTCGGCCTCGTTCTGCGACGACGACGCCGCCTGCCGATCCCTTGCTTTCGCGGCTTCTCCCGCCTCTCGGCGCAACTCCGCCCTCCTCGCGGCGTATTTTGGCCCCTCGAGTTTATCGAGCTCTCCTCGCGCAAGGACGACTCTTCTGACACCCACTCCGATCATTTGCCGCCAAGTCATGTCGTTGCTCAGGTCCACTCTCGTTTCGAACACTTGTACCTCCACACAGTCGTCGTCATCGATTCGTCTTCCGGAGTCCTTCCGTTCGGCGTGGCTCACCCTCCATGCCGTGAACAGGCGCCCTATCCATCCATCGTTCCTATGTTCTTCTCTCGCTCCTCTGCCCGTGCCTTGGTCTTGTCGTTGTTTCGTAACCAGGGCCACGGAATTCTTTTACCACCCAAGACAGCTTGGAGAGCTCCCGGGTACAGGTACGTGCTTTGGTTTCACAACACGTTTGGTCCTCGCTATGGTACGGCTCACCAGATGCGACAGGAGGGCTAAAATCCGGAATATAGACTGCCAAGAGGGTGCTCTAGGCCGCGAAGACACCACACACGGTCTCCCTACTCATGCGCGGCTAGCAGGAGGGTGCCAAAAATGAGGCGCGTTGTGAAACCGCAGCTGGCCCCGCCGACGGGTAGCACAGGTCATGAGTGAGGCCACGCCAGCTACCTCGGGTGCTCCGTGTGGTCGGCCTGGACCGTGCCGCAAGCCTCGAGCAGCGGAGAAGCGCTGTCCTTGAAGTCCAGACATGCTTCGCCGCCGTGGCGCAGCGCCGCAGTGCGAGCGAGCACTGCAGCTGCAGTGCTCGCTCGCACTGCGGCACCCATCGACTCCCTGCGCTCCGGGCACATTGGCAAATGTGCCGGCGGCCTTGTGGACGGCTCGGGCACGAATTGCGCGACGGCGCGGCGTCTCGAGGCGGCCGTGTTGTGAAAACGAAGCTGTTGCGAAACCGAAGCCCGGACCTGTACTCGAGTAAGGCTACATTTCGTAACGATGGTCGCTAAACGACACGCTATTGGCCATCTGCCTCCTGCAGCCTCTGTTGGGGCGGAATGCGCGGGGTTTTCGGCGCGATGCCTCCGGCTAGTACACGGTACTGCTCTGCCGCAAACTCTCCTGCGCTCGCGTGACGTGTGGGGCGCACGCACTGCGCTCGAAAGTCGCGATTTGGCAATAGGCGCTCGAGCCGGCGCGCAGTGGAGGGGGCGCCGCGCAGGGGGATCGGGGGGGTGCGAGAGGGGGCGTGGGTCGGGCGCGCACCGGCCGGCTCCGGGAGCGGCCGTCACGTCGAAGAGGGGACCTGGTGCTGCTCGAATGACGACGCATGCCGCTCTGCTGCGCCGCCGATAGCCCCTCTTCCGAGCCGGCGCGTGGCGGCGAGCCGCGGCCAGTATCGCTGGTGCGGTGGAGGCGGCAGCTTGCATCGGCCGGCAGCGGGTGCGGCCATCACGTCGATGAGGGGGGGTTGTCGGCGACTCGTGTGGCTCGAGGCCTACGCTGACCGCCCAAGCCCTACTGCCGATCCAGCGCCTGGCGTTTGGGGCGAGCCGCGGTCGTCGTCGCTGATGGTATATGGCGGCGGCGGCGGCGGCTCGCCCTTCCCTCCGGCCGCAATTCCGATCCCGCCGCGCTCGCGGGAGTTGGCGCGCCCACCGCGGCACGGCGTGGCTGCGCATACTGCATACACCTTACGCCCTTTCTCCTCAACGGCTATCCGTGCTTGCTGTGCCCCTGCGTGGTGTGTTTCAAGTTCTTACAACCCAAGGTGATAGAGGGCAAAAAGATCGATTGCGCTCTTGCCGATCCGCACCTACCTAGGCTCTTGGACGGCGCGCCCCAGCTCTTCACACAACGAACCTGAACCTGGTTGTGCCTACCCACGGTGGTTGGCGGCTTGCCGACTTCTCATGCAAACCGCCGGCTCGTACTCCTACGAGCTCGCCGAGTACAGCCGCGCCGTACCCGTCACCTACGCGCCGACCTTTGAGCGCCGCGGTGCGCCCGGCGCCTGGACCCAGCTGGTCCACACCTTCCTTCGTCGGACGGTGGCACGGTACGACCGCTCGGCCCTGTCGGCGCTGGGTGCACGGTGGTGCGTCTTCGACGGACTGCGCAGCTCCGGCGAGGCAGTGCCAGACGAGTCGGCGCGCTGCAGCGGCAGCGCAGAGGACAGGCTCGAGCCAGGCGTGCTGGAGGCGCGGCTGATTGCGGCGTGGGAGGCGGCGGCAGCGGAGGACCCGCACGCGCTGTCGCCCGGTTTCGACGACGTGCTCCTCCTCGCGCTCGAGACCAGCTCGGGTGTGATCGCGTGGGGCGAGCAGCGCCTCTACTGGTACTCCTCCCCTCCAAAGTACCTCTCGATCTCGCGCCACCACAAGCACGTCGGCAAGCAGTCCTCGCGAGCGGAGGTCGACGGCAAGCGAGCCGTGTCTGGCTCGCTGCGCATGCTGGCGTACGACGGCGCCCACCCGTCGTGGGCGGCGAAGGCGGCGCAGGCTCACCCTCCTCCCGCACTGCTCAAGACGGAGCCCTGCAAGAGGCGCTTTCTCTCCGAGGTGCCACCCTCCCACCCTCGCTCGTGCTACCCTCATCTCCCGCCACCCCTCGCCTCCTGCTGCCGCGGCCGCCTCCTCTTGCCTCCTGCGGGCTCGTGGCCTGTCTGTCAGCCCCCCCCCCCCCCC